GTGGGCTGCTGTGCTGTGATGGAGCTCCATCCATATGGGCATTGCTAGCACAACTCACTTGTGCACACTGTAGAGATGCTGGGAGCCAGAACCTGACGTCACTCCGGTCCAGGCACCTCTACAGGACATGCGAGAAAGCTGTAAGCAATGCATGTATGGATGGAGCTCCCTCGCGGCCATAACTCCAGCCTACTCCATCTCAAGCTGACACTCTGCGCCAAGCAGCATATGAATAGCTGCTTGGCGCGAGAACTGAGAGTGCTGCACTATCGGGGAGGCTGAGAAGTCTCTTACCTAGGAAACTGGAAGGCACATGGTGACCCAATGAACACGGGGGCCGCGATCCACTTTTGGGTCACAAAAAATCCAAGGGTCTAGATGATATTCGTGTTTACTGTGTGAGTAGTGTCAAATGCTCAAGTAAGCAAGCGCAACGATAGTACCAATATTCAAAAAAAGGTTTAAGAGGCCAACCTGGGAACTACAGACCAGTCAGTCTAAAATCAATAATATGCAAACTGTTAGAGGGAATGATAAAAAACTATTTAGTAGATTTTTTTCATGGCAATGGTATAATAAAATATAATCAGCATGGATTTAGGAAGGACTGTTCTTGTCAGACCAACTTACTAACATTCTACAAAAAGGTGAGATCTGGTTGGAGGGAGGTTGGTGGATGTGGTATATCTGGATTTTGCCAAAGCTTTTGACACAGTAACACATAAATGCTTAATACACAAGCTGAAATCTATGGGTATAGATGAAATGGTGTATACATGGATAGAGAACGGGCTACAGGAATGTGTCCAGAGTGTATTGATAAATTTCAGATTGGTCTAAGGTCGAGAGTGGCGTGCCACAGGGTTCTGTGCTAGGCCCCATACTGTTTAACCTGTTTATTAATAATATTGGGGAAGGTGTTAATAGCCATGTTTCTTTGTTTGCTGATGATACTAAAATTGGGAGGGTAATAGACTCGGCTTGGACATTATAACATTGCAGGAGGACCAGAAATAAAATAGGGAAGTGGGCAACTATATGGCAGATGAGGTTTAAAGTGACATTAAACCCTCAGATTTTTTAACATAAAACAATACTGTAATGTGTGCCTTACTGTAATCCATTGTTGTTTCCCTTCTCTTTGCTGCTCTTCCTTTTAAATTTGTATCTCTTCTCATGCTGGGCAGAACTTGTGTTTTGCAGCAGACTGCCTTGTCTCTGAAATGGATACATGGTGTCTGTGTGAAGGTTAACAACCTGAGCCAGCACTACAGGAAGAGGCACTCAGCTGCAAAGGGAAGTTCTCCCTAAGCATGAGATACAGATTTAAAAGGAAGAGCAGCAAAGAGAAGGGAAACAACCATGGATTACAGTAAGGCACACATTACAGTATTGGTTTATGTTAAAAAAATCAGAAAAAGTTAAAAATGTAAAGTGATGCATTTTGGGTTTAAAAATATGCACGAGGAATACATATTAATGGCTACTCCACTAGGGATGTCAGAAATTAAAAAAGATTTGGGGGTCATAGTAGACCACAGATTGAATAATAGCTTGCAATGCCAGGCTGCGGAAAACAAAGCAAGCAGAGTACTGTCTTGTATTAAAAAGGGAATGTTCTGTAGAGATAAAGGAATAATTTTGCCACTTTATAGATCACAGGTTCGGCCTCATCTTGAGTATGCGGTTCAGTTTTGGTCACCAATCCACAGAAAGGATGTCCTTGAGCTGGAGAGAGTCCAGAGGAGGGCAACTAAACTAATTAAGTGGCTGGAGGACCAAAGCTATGAGACAAGATTGCTAAATTCAAACTTGTTCACGCTAGAAGTGAGGCGATTAAGACGGGATATGATTTTAATGTACAAAATGTTTAGTGGTGATGTCAACATCAGCAATAAACTTTTTACAGTGAGCTCCATAGCAAAGACTAGAGTCCACCACCTAAAATTGGTGGAGAAAAGATTTAACCACAAAGGGTGTAGGGGCTTCTTTTCAGTTAGAGCGGTTACATTTTGGAACTCGCTGCCACAAGCAGTGATATCAGCAGAGAGTATTGAATCATTCAAAAAGCATTTAGATACCTTCTTTAGGGACTATGTAACTATGCAATGTTTGAATTCGCAAACCTGTGAAATTGCTGCTGTCCTACTAATTTGAAACCACACAAACTCAATCCAGTTTTATCTTGATGTTATGTTAACAATTTTTGCAAACAGATTGTGTTTTTGTTTTTTTTACTAATATGCATCACAATGTAGCTCTGAAAGGTGAAAAAAACTCTCTTTAATTAAAGTGCAAGCTTTCACTTGTAGCTTTACCATTTTGCATTAGATAAAATTTGCACTCATGTGATACCCTTTAAACGACAAGACTGTTACATAGTTACATAGTATTTGGGGTTGAATAAAGACATATGTCCATCAAGTCCAACCCATATAGGTCCACGCATCATCTCATTCTTAGGGATACTGGTATCCCTGCATATTACGGTCCCTCAAGAAATTGTCCAAACCCTAACCCAATCTACACTCTCGGCTAAAATCACTGCCGATGGCAGTGAGTTCCAGACCTTAACTGCTCTTACTGTAAAGAACCCTCTTCGCCCATTGTGCTGGAATTTTTTCTCCACCAACTTTAGGTGGTGGCCTCTAGTCTTTGTAGTGGAGTTAATCTCAAACAGTTTGTTGCCAATGTTGCTGTCACCATTGAACATCTTGTACATGAAAATCATATCCCCCCTTAATCTCCTTAATTCCAGCGTAAACATGTTTAAGGTCAGAAGCCTTGTCTCATAGCTCTGGTCCTCCATTCCCCTAATTAGTTTTGTTGCCCTCCGCTGGACTCTCTCCAGTTCAAGGACATCCCTTCTCAGTACCGGCGACCAAAACTGGACCGCGTACTCCAGATGTGGCCGAACCAACGATCTATATAGAGGCACAATTATAGACTTGTCCCTGCAATACATCCCCTTCTTAATACAGGACAAGACCCTGCTAGCTTTGTTTGCTGCAGCTTGGCACTGCAAGCTACCTTTCAGTTTGTGGTCTACAATGACCCCCAAATGTTTTTCTATTTCTGACTTCCCTAGCGGCATACCCATGATTGTATAGCCTATTTGTTTATTTTTATATCCAAAGTACATTACTTTGCATTTATCGACATTAAACCTCATCTGCCATAGTATTGCCCACTCCCCTATTTTATCCAGGTCCTCATGCAATGTTATATTGTCACGATCCGTTTCTAGTACCCTCCCTATTTTTGTATCGTCTGCAAACACGGAAACATGGCTATTTATTCCCTCCCAGATGTCATTAATGAATAGGTTGAACAGTATCGGACCCAGCACAGATACTTGAGGCACACCGCTCATTACACACCGGTGTCCGTTACATTTTATGGTAAATGTTTGGGCTGTGCAAATAAGGTAAAAGTTGCGTGAGGAAACTTTACAGTGAAATGCATTTTTCTAATATTCCACTAATGCATCCTAATTAAAACATTGGAAATAAAAACATGTGTATCCATATCTCTTACCAAAGTAAAGCTATCTAAAAAATGATGTATAATACATCTCAAGAATGAAAACAAAATGCTCCAGGACTCAAGAAGGATATAGGGAGGAAAAGAGTCTATGACTATAGTGATTAGAGTAGGTGAAGGGATAAGGAGGGAAATAGATACAGAAATGTCATGGCATCACATAACTTAATTACATTATAATAATTTTTCTTTATAAAAACAGATCAATGTTTTTCCTTTACCAATATCAGCAGTAATTAAAACTATGTACATTCAATTGATAAATGATGTACACCAAAATAATTGATAGATAAATATATTTCTTGTTGTTTTTAATATAAAACAAAAAAATATATACACATATTATACAAGCACAGTATTTTTCAACATGATAAAAGAAAACATGAGCATCCCATGACATTATTGTGGCCACACAGTGGCAATTTAAATAATATGAATTAATAACTTTCAATATACATTCACTTTACAAAATATACATTATACTCCAGTCTGATACATTTTATAAAAAATAACTTTGTGCAAATATATACAATGTGGCATCAGTATTATACATAAAATAGGCTGGTTTTCATATAGTTAACCTGCTTGAACCATTTGCTAAACAAGGGAATCTGGATGATGGAAATACTTGGATTGGCCGTGGATTCCTTTTTCATTCTACCTAGCATACTAGGCTGCTCATAAACTGGTAATGGGGACCTTGGGATCCCCTACCAGTTCACTTCATTCAAACAGAGTATGTACTGACTTTACTGCTCATGCTTCTCTTAGTGCATCCAAAAAGGGTAACTATGTGCACACAATGAGGTGCAATCGTAAGGCCATGTGCTGCGTCATCAATATAAGTTAGGTTCCCTTACTGGCTTCATGATTTGGTGACCTCCAAGAACAAATCCCCAAGGGTAGGGGCTCACGATTATCTATAGTGTGGCTGGAAAGGGAAAACCTTATCTGATAAAGGGGTAGTTTGGTAAGGGTGCCAGAAAAAACCTTTTACCAATTAAATTATTCCATTATTCTTTTAATGCCAGTGATCTGTATTAGCAACCTCTTGAGTGGTTTGTGTGTGTGTATGTATATGTATATATGTGTGTGTGTGTGTGTGTGTGTGTGTGTGTGTGTGTGTGTGTGTGTGTGTGTGTGTGTAAGTCAGATCTGCACACTAGTGCTTTAAATTACTCTGTGTTTGGAAAGTTTTCTAATGTCTAATGCATGTTTAGCTGATGCTATCTATTCAGCTAGCATGGATATCTATCTCTTCTGGATATATCACTGAAAATGAGAAGGTAAAAAATCTAGTTTGCATTACAATGTGTATTTCTTTTTATCTAAATATTAACAATATAGTTAATAAAATGAGCAGATGGGTTAATTTGTATGATCAGAAAAATATTGAGAATAACCAGAAACCTGCCAGATTTGGTTAGGATTCTGATATGTGCAAGCTGATTTGCACAGTTATTGCTACAAATGTACAGTTATTTATATATTTACTCTTCAGTGGCATCCACAGCTACCAGCCACCATATCATCATACTGTTTTAAAACAACGTTTTCATCATCATCAAAGTAAAGCAAGTTAATAGAGAAAAGTTTGTCAGGAACACAGCATGGACTGTTAACACCTTGTGTTAGTCTGAGTGCATTAATTATAGACTGTACTGTTGCATGGTTGGTGGGCCGCATGTTTTCTCCTAGTGGAAATGGACACAATCCCTTACAATGATAAGCGTTGTATCCTCTTGGAGAGATTATCCATCCAGACCACCCAATCTCCTCAAAATCTACATAGAGCGGATGCCTCTGGCAGGGCGCATGTCCATCATCCTGTAACGCTCTAGCCATCCTGGTTCTATTTGGCGCTGAGGCATAAGGTTCATTGGGTATTGACAATTGATTGTTATCTAGATATAAGATGATTTAAGAATATTATTGCCAGAACCACACATTTAAATTGCTTAATGAATGACACATAAAATACAATGTCTGCTTATATGCTTTAACCCCTTAAGGACCCTGCCAAGGCCTTCTTTTAGTTTTTTTGCACACGATATCCACATTTTAGGCCTGAAAATTACTTAAAACCCCCAAACATTTTATGTTTTCTAACAGCCAAGACCCTGTAAAATAAAATGGTGGCAGTTGCAAATTTTTATGTTGCACAATATTAGCTCAACTCTTTAGCAAACCGAAAAATGTAGTGAAAAATGCACTTGTTACATTTAATGCCCCAAAACACAATATAACACCCATTGTTTTTGAAAATATAAAAGATGAGGTTACAACTAGTACATAGATACCCAACATGTCAAGGTTAAAAATTGCGTGCATCTGTGAAATGGCGACAAAATTCAGTACCCCAGAAAGTCCAAAGACGACGCCCTAAAAGCACGTAAAGGTCATCAGTTTAGAGATTTGCATACATTTTGGCCCTAGAATTGCTCTCACTCTGGCGTGTGCGGCGATACCCAACATGTGTAGCGCGATCGACGTTTTCGTATGTAGGAGCACCCGATGCGTGTTTACTGAATATGCGCATTCTCTCGCCGGGGACTTAAAATTTTGTAATTTTGTTTTTACATTTATTTAAATATCTTTTTTTCTTTATTTGGTATCACATGTGGGGGCTTACAAGCCCCCCATGTGATAGTATATTGGCAGTGACAGGTCCTCTTTAAGGTGATAGTGAGGGTCCAAAACACCCTTAGTGTCACCTTTCCACTCTAAATAAGCTATTGAAGTGCACATCACACTTCAATAGCTTATTGCTCAGCTTTAGGAGCCAAGCAAAGACAGCTCAGGGACCGGAAGTGATGCAATCCGCAGATTTCGCCGATCTCCTACCCAGCTTCCTGCCGACACCTGAGATGCGGTTCCCAGGCCCGTTGGAGGGTCATCGGAGCATGGGAAACATGGCAGGGGTGTCTGGGGCAAGCACTTTACTGTCACATGGAAGCGATTTGGCGGCAGCTGAGTCACCAGAATCGCTTCTATTGTAAAGCCGACAGCCAGCTTTAGCTGCCGGGAGTCTGTTTAAACGGGCCCACTGCCAATGAAGTACTATGTATGTCACTGCTAAGGAGTTAATTACCTGTATTTCCTATGTAAATGTAATGCAACTAATCATGTCTTGAAGATATAACATCATAATAACCTTGCAGGGAAAAACTGCCAGGTATTAATTACATGAAGTATATTTAAAGACTTAAAAAGATGAATGGAGGCAACAGAATAATTATAATGTATTTACCTGGTTGGTTGCTAAATGAAACAACTCCTCTTCTTCCATCATCAGTGAAAAGAACAAGCATGGGTTGTTTACTTTCATGGTGGTCCTTTCCTGAGGCAAACCGGATAATATTAGCATCAGGTTGTCCTCCTCCCAGATTTCTCACTGTTACAAGGATACCCTGATTGTTGCTTACGTCATTCCAAGTGTGAACCTGTAAATTGGTAAATAGCCACAATTTTTATGTTGCTGCTAACATAGGAATTTATTTCTAACCTATTTGCAGAACTGCTTTTTAAACAATGGCCTGCCTGTAGCAAAGAAAAGGGTGTATTTATTACAAGTATAAACTCCTGTCATAGTAAATAGTTAACTTGCTAAACAACATTATACACTGAGAAGGTGAATACATACACACACACACACACACACACACACACAACATTTCACACATAATTGTAAAAAACATGTACTACTCACAGCTTGTGTGATGGAAAATACTTCCCATCCTGAGGAATGAATAGGGACAAGTTTTGATGACAGCTGTTTCCTTCCTTGTGACAAGTGCATTTTATTCTTATCCAAAACAAGATATACATTTATCTATGAAGTAAAAGAAAATTGATTTAACTTCATATAAGAAATTGAGGAACTCTGAGCGTAACAATAGCTAAAAGTGACCCTGTTGTTAGAATAAAACAATGATATATTACCTTTCTGGCAAGCAATGAGTGAAATCTTCTCTCTATAGTGTCTGGCAGGAGGAACAGTAAGCAGTGAGGACCAGGTATCTGACAAACCCCAGCTCTTCAAGAGAGAGATTTGTGTTAGCTGCTGGAAAGGTATGGTATATCTTGTTTTATAGACTGTAAGTAGTTTAATTTTAAAAGTTTAGAAACGGGGTCTCTTTACAACTACTGTTAGGCTAAATAGCAATCCTTTTAAACACTTTAAGGAACACAAGCCAAAACATTTTGTTTAGATTTGGCTAGAGAGGGAAGAATTATAACATTTATCAGCTTTTATAGCACACTGCGTTCCAGTTTGTAGGAGGTTTTCTCATTTTCTGTTTACCCAACAGAAGGAAATCATGTCAATGGGTACACAAACAGGAACAACAAAAAAATACAGATTTTGTCCTGTCTTGATTTCCACTCAATTCCTTTGTTGTTGATCATACATGTAGTAAGAAGAAATCCTCCTAGTGGAAACGTCAACAGCCAGAAAATCTGATCTTATCCTTGTATCCACAAGTTAAAAAAAGTTATAAAAAAAGAAAATGCTTCCACCTCACGTCTTTGCTGTGCCTCACCTGGCAGAAATGATGCCTTTTGAAATGTGAGTAATCTGTAGGCCTTGGTTTAAGTTTGAAGAGATGTAGTTCAGCCGTTAAAATTTTCTCATTTTTAGTCACAGTCGAAAGGTTGAACAGAAAATGCAACTGGTCACTGTGAACTGAGATGAGATATTTTGATTTAGTAACAGCATTCTATTGGAGTGTATATTAATACAGTTTATGTGGTTAACTGAGTTATGACTCTGCTTTTATTCAATGCCTTTTTTCTTAAGTGCAAATTATTTGGATAAACAAAGCATAGCAACAATTTTCAGTTACCCAAAACTACACTAACTAATAACTAAGAAAAAGAAGCAAAAAAGGAAAATAATTTAGTAGGTACAGCAACCACAAGTCTTACCTTTGTCAAAGAAACTTCTAACTGTGTTTCCCTCTAGAAGATCGGGATCCTTAGTAACACCGTCCGCATCAGCAATGGTATTATAAAGATCAATCATGTATTGAGGTGGTTGCTTAACATGATGTAGATAATGTGGGGGGTCATCAATTCCAAAAACTTTCAACAACCTTCTGAGTGCCTCAGATCTTATTTGGCTTGGATTCTCTGCTGGGGAAGCAATGTCTCCTAAGTTTTCAGTAGGACGTGAAGTGCATCCATGCACAAAAATAACAAATAAAGCCAAATCCAACATTGTTGTGTGTACCATCTCGTCAGGTTGTAGCCTTGTCAAAAAACTTGTGGTGAAATGATCGTCTGTAAGCCTGCTGACACAATTTATAACAATTCTAGAAGACAGCTGCCCATAAGCTTTAAAACAAGATAGAATTAAGGCAAATATGCAAAACGGCAATCAGTAAATGTAAAGAAAGCTAATTGCAGTGCTAACAAGGTGTGAAGCAAGAGCAGCAATGCACTGTTAGCAATTATCCTACAGTACACAGTTTATGTGAAATTGGAAGCTGTTATCCTGTGTGCATTACTTATTTTAAAGGAAAATCAGGGAATCTTGTATAGGTAGAACAAGCAAAGATTTAAACACCTGGAGAGGATTGATTTGTTTATCATTTTTCTGGACTAAATGTGAAATGATTCTATTGTGTATGGTTGAATGAGAAACATTTGCTCACAGTGGGAGACTAACTTCCTTGTAATGCATTTATTAATGAGGAAAACAGGAGGACACTGACTTGCATGCATTTAAACCCTGTTAAACAAATAGCAGGCACACCTAAGTAAGGTAGATATACTACAAATTAGTTACAGTAAAACATCCTTTAAATTACATACAGCAATCTGTTAAGTTTATAAAGATGTGTAAAGACAATGGATTTCTGATGCTTTTAGGCCCAAACCGTACTTGTTAAGATGTGTAATATGTAGCCTATGGATTCTCTAATCTGATATTTAATCTGATTTTATGTAAAATATATTTTTAAATTCACTTGCAAATGAACATAAAATATTTTGTGTCTATTAGGCAGTCTGCTGTGATAGTGAATGTAACCTTATTTTTGCTGGATGTTTATTTTACTGACATTGTAATGTAGATGAATAAAAAAAGAATCAAATAAACTACCACATTTTGATGATTTCTGCCCCTTGCTGTTCTTATTGTGTAATGTTATGTGGATGTTGATTGAACTGTGCATTTTCATTGACTGGATCAAAGTTTTAAAAAGAATCTAATGAGACACTGAGCAGAATGACTACAGTCATTCAATCTTGTCTCATGCTCAAATTTTCCATTGTTTTCTAATCTACATTCATTATGTGTATTTAACTTTTCTTCTTTACAGACAGTCAAATAAAACATAGAACAGATTCATACCTACATTACAGAAATTATATTTAAAGTTATTTATCCCTTTTGGATTGGTTAAGCTAGTACGCAAACAAAGAAATGACACTTGGTCCATTCATGTGACTATGAAGACCACATTTTATGCTGCATCTGGTATAGGATGGTACACTATGGAACTAGAAATAACAGTGGGAGGAGACTTCCTTTTTAAGTTATTATGCAGCTCTGGTTGTTGATATTTGGAAATCTGTTATTTAGAAAGATATAGAGAATTTCAAGTGTCTTTCTACAAATGTCACATGCACATACGGGATCATAAAGAATTTCCCTACACTGTAAAAAGCACCGTTGGAAAAAAAGGAGCTTTCAGATGCCAAAAGGACATTTATTAAACAGTTAAAGAGACTTTTTATCAAACTGTCACTGGTGTTGAATCATTCACTGTCATTTAAAAGACACATGCAAACAGAAGATTTAACTGCAGTGTTTGGTGAATATCATATTAATTGCTTTATAAATATGCCCACGAATTGTAGTGAGCGTTTCATTTCCCAATATATAATTGTCTAATACCCATAGGCAACTGTAATGTGTGATCCCGTTTCTTATTGCAGATAATAGAAAGTGCACATGTATATATATGTAGTCAGATTAATCCTTAACCCATTTAAATCCTAGGGTAATTAAAACCTTTGTCCCACGAAAAATTGGGAATATACAGCGTTGGTGGTGTAAGCAAAACAAATGACAAACGCACTCATCATTGATGAGTGCGTTTGTCATTTGTTTTGCTTGACTGATTTGGTGCAGTGATGCATGGGGAGTCTCAGCTGCCATTGGGATGTGCGGGATCCCTTGTGTGTTCCTGTGCCTTTAAGGGAGGTTGGGCTTCCTTCTGACAACCCTGCACCCAATTTTATCTTCTGCCCCATGTGCTCCAAGATGGAGACTCTCATAGTTTAGAGTTAGGACCGCACTATAAGAGGTGCCCTTTCACATTTTCTGCAGAAGACGTGTATCCAAACCTCTCTTTTTAACCTTAGTGGTGAGACAAGTTTTTTTACATGCTAGCTTGTGAGTGTGCCAGGAAAACTTTTTGCTGTTATACCCCGATGCAGTGTCCCCTACAGAGTCCCCATCCATAGGATGCAGAGGAGCCTATGGAGTGCGGATCTATTCGGAGGGTGTCCTTCTCCGCCCACAAAACTTGCACTACCCTGCAGAGAAATAAAGACATGTTTTCAGGGCTGCCCGGATGCACATTTGTAATTAAACATTATATTGTGACAGATCCCTACGTAAATGTTCGGGTGAAGCCCTACTGCATCCCAGAAGCCCATAGAAAGGCTGTTTCCGAAGAGGTTCGGAAAATGCTCGAGCTGGACGTCCTAGAAGAGTCGCAGAGTGAATGGTCGAGTCCCATTTTGTTGGTACCAAAACCCAATGGCACTCTGCGATTCTCAACGACTTCAGGATGCTCAGTGAGCTGTCAAAGTTGAGTATCGATGAATTAACCCCTTCAAGACTAAGGCCTTTTTTTCATTTTTTGCACCCATGTTGCACCCATGTTCCACATTTTAGGCCTGAAAATTATTTAAAACCCCCAAACATTATTTTCTGAAAGCCAAGACCCTATAGAATAAAATGGGGCAGTTGCAAAATTTTATGTTGCACGATATTAGCACAAGTCCTTATCAAACCCCAAAATTTAGTGAATAATGTACATAAATACCCCAAAACACAATACAATACCCATTTTTTCAATAAAATATACAAGATGATGTTACAACGAGTAAATAGATACCCAACATGCCCAGGTTAAAAATTGTGTGCGTCCGTGAAATGGCGACAAACTTCAGTACCCCAAAAAGTCCATAGACGATGCTTTAAATGCCCCCACAGGTCATCAATTTAGAGATGCCCTAGAATTATTGCTCTCACTCTGGCGTGCGCGGTGATACCGAACATGTGTAGTGCGTTCGTTGTTTTCATACCTAGGCGCACCCGACGCGTGTGCTTGCGGAGGACTTTAAAAATGTTTTTTATTATTTTTAGGTTTATTTTAATTTTCAAAACTGTTAATTTGGTTGCTATCACATAAGGGGGATTAGAAGCCCCCCATGTGATAGCAGATGGTGGTGACAGGTAATCTTTAAGGTGATGCTAGGGGTCCAAAAGACCCCCAGTGTCTCCTTTACACTCCAAATAAGCTATGGAAGTGCATATCGCACTTCCATAGCTTATAGCTGGGCTTCAGGAGCCCAGCACTGACAGCTATGGGACCGGAAGTGATGCAAACGGAGGTTTGTCCATCTCGTCCCCAGCTCCCTGCCGACACCAGAGAAGCTGGTCCCGGGCCTGTAGGATCGGCAACGGAGCCCAGGAAGCAAGGCTGGGATGTCGCGCGCGGGCCATAGAAGCGATCTGGCGACAGCTGAATCGCCAGAAACGCTTCTATTGTAAAGCCGACAGCCGACTTTACAAGTTTAAACAGAGTCCCGGCAGCTTTTGCTGTTTAAACAGCCCTGATGCTGGCGACGTAAACTGTACGTCCTCAGTCGTGAAGGGGTTAATAAAGAGGTTGCGACCTGCCCGGTACATCACCACCCTGGATCTTACAAAGGGGTACTGGCAGATACCCTTAACCAAGGAAACCAGGGAGAAGACAGCTTTTTCCACCCCTGAGGGTCACTTCCAATATAAGAGAATGCCTTTTGGGTTACACTCTGCCCGGCCACCTTCCAAAGGGCAATGGATAGGACACTCCCCCCTCACCTGAGATATACCTTGGACTACCTGGATGACATTGTCATCTTCAGCACAGATTGGGAGTCCCAACTTCCCAGGTTCAGCCTGTGTTAGACTCTCTGAGGAAAGGAGGGTTTATTCTTAACGCAGAGAAGTGTGCAATAGGGATGGAAGAGGCCAGGTACCTGAGATATGTAGGTGGAGGTCTGGTGGAACCGCAAATTAATAAAGTGGAAGCCATTCAGAACTGACCTCGCCCCCTGACAAAGAAACAGATTTGTGCTTTTCTGGGAATAGTTGGGTATTATCAGTGCTTTGTCCCTAATTTTGCCTCTGCCACTGATTGACCTGACGAGAGGCAGGAAGTCAGTGATGGTTCCATGGAGTGCCAGTGCTGAAGAAACCTTTGTGAAGCTTAAAACAGCATTGTGTCAGCATCCAGTGCTGGTAGCGCCAGATTAAATAGGGAGTTAATTGTTCAGACAGATGCCAGTGAGAGTTTAGGGCCGTGCTGTCTCAAGAGGTCAATGGGAAGGAACACTCTATAGTTTTTCTTAGTAGGAAACTGACGACAGCAGAGAAAAACTATGCTGTGGTAGCGAGAGTGTTTAGCCATAAAGTGGGCCTTGGATTCTCTGAGGTACTTTCTGTTAGTCAGGAAGTTCCGTCTGCCCCATTGACCTGGATGAGACAGAACAGGCACACTAATGCCAGAGTGACCAGGTGGTTTCTGTCCCTCCAAGAGTTCAACTTCAAGGTAGAAGTCTCTGAAATGGATACATGGTGTCTGTGTGTAGGTTCACAACCTGAGCCAGCACTACAGGAAGAGGCAATCAGCTGCAAAGGGAAGTTCTCCCCAAGCATGAGAAGACATGAGGATTTAAAAGGAAGAGCAGCAAAGAGAAGGGAAACAACCATGGATTACAGTAAGGCACTCATTACAGTATTGGTTTATGTTAAAAAATCTGAGGGTTTAATGTCACTTTAAGGATATACGCTAAGCGGTTCTGCTGTACGGTGGAATAAGCACGCCCAGAGGTCTATGGGTAACTGTATATCACATATTTGTTTTATAATATCAATTACAATGACCCACCTGTACTCGGCCGGACCGCATGAAATGCGGCTCTGTAACCGGCGGCCGCTCGCTCCTCAAG